GAGAATGCAGAATAGAAGAGAATTGAGAAGAGAATGCAGAATAGAAGAGAAGTGGAGAGAATTATGAGAAGAGAAGAGAATTATGAGAAGAGAATGCAGAACAGAAGTGAAGAGAATTATGAGAATATAATAGAATTATGAGAAAAGAATGCAGAACAGAACAGAATAATGGAGTTAGAAGGCACCTAGTAGGTCATCTAGTCCCAACCCCCTAATTGCTAATTGTTGAAAAAATATATATCATAAAATCAGATAGGTTCCGTGATGATCCCCTTAGTGACTGGCACAAAATGATGACAGTAATTCTAGGCTCAATTATGGTTGCAATCCGAGGACTTCCTATATAGCGTTTCTCAAATATCTTTTATCAGGAACGTCACTCAGACCAGGTTCTATCTCTCCATCTCTGTTAGCTCGCTTTAATCTCTGTTTTTGTTACTGTTGCTGACAGGAGAGTCCGTCCAATGAGAAACCTCAAGACAAACCCCAGGGAATCAAAATTCCAACGTACACCATCAACATTACCAAAGCATTCCAGGGTTTTGTAAGTTTTGGTTACCTGCATTTGGTTATATTAAAAACAACAGGGGCGCGGTGGCTCAGCGGCTAAGACGCTGAGCTTGTGGATCAGAAAGGTCGGCCGTTTGGCGGTTCGAATCCCTAGCGCCGTGTCGCGGAGTGAGCTCCCGTTCCTTGTCCCAGCTTCTGCCAACCTAGCAGTTCAAAAGCACGTAAAAAAGAAATGCAAGTAGATAAATAGGGACCCCTTCGGTGGGAAGGGAACAGCGTTCCACGCGCCTTTGAAGGCGTTTAGTCCTGCCGGTCACATGACCACGGAGACGTCTTGGACAGCGCTGGCTCTTCGGCTTTGTAACAGAGATGAGCACTGCAGTGGTGGGATTCAATTTTTTTTTTTACTACCGGTTCTTTGGGCGTGGCTTGGTGGGCATGGCTTGGTGGGCATGGCTTGGTGGGCATGGCACGGGAAGGATACTGCAAAATCCCCTTCTCACGCCACTAACCTGCTTTCCAGCTCCGTTCTCCTGTGCAGGGCAACCAAAGAAGACCCAGCCAATTACCTGGGACTTGGGAGGCGGAGACTAGAGGAGGCGGGGCCAGTCAGAGGTGGGATTGGCCGGGTTCTCCAAACTACTCAAAATTTTCACTACCGGTTCTTTAGAACCAGTCCAAACTGGCTGAATATCACCTCTGGAGCACCGCCCACTAGAGCCGGAAAGGACTAGCACGCATGTGCGAGGGGAATCTTTACCTTTACCTATATTAAAAAGAGTGTGCAGCCATATGCATTTAAAAGGTGAGCGAAATGAATTGCAAGGGAAATATCACCCACGTTCAGGCAAGGATTGTCTTGACTAGCTGAGTCATCATTACAAGTAGTCCTTGGTTCACAACAGTTCATTTACTGACCGTTGGTAAGTTCAACAGCTCTAGAAAAAACAGCCTATGACCGTTTTTCACACTTATGACCATCGTAGCGTCCCCACAATCACCTGAACAAAATCCAGGCATTTGGCAACTGACTTGTATTTATGACGGTTGCAATGCCCTGGGGTCACGTGTTCCCCTTTTGTGACCTTCGGGCCTGCAGAGTCCATGGGGAAGCCGGATTCACTCAACAACCATTTTACTCACAAAATGCAAACGATTTGCTTAACAACGGGGCCCAGAAAAGTCTTTAAATGGGGCCACACTCACTCAGCGATGGTCTTGCTTAGCAACAGAAATTTGAGCCTCTGTTGTGATTGTAAGTTGAGCACCACCTGGGATTCCGATTGTTGGGTGTGGGTTGAAGAAGGTCTGGCTGTGTTTCTTCTTGCTGACAACAATGTAGATTTGGCTCAATCAAGCCCTTAGAGATCTCTCCGATTCTGGTTTGTTAGACCACATCGATTAGGTTGCCCATCAAGCGACCCTCAGCCCAGCTGGAGAAGTCCACCCAGGCTTCCCCCAAGATGTTGAAGTTGGAAGAACCGGAGTGCGATGCCCCTAAGGTCTCTAACCAGCAAGGAGAATGTCCCCAGGAGAACGTCCCCAGGTCTGGACAGCCTTCGTTCCGTGAATCCACACCAGAGCCCCAGCAAAGAGAACCTTCCAGTTCGTTGATACTCAGGGAAGATTCCCCTTCTGGGATCTGTGAACCAGGTATGAGGAGAAGCAGGTGGGGTTTTAAAACAAACAAACAAACACAGGTTTCATGATGAGAAGACTTTCTGCAGGGAAGTGCTGTGGTTAGCCAGCAGCGGGTGCGGACGGCTGAGGAGAGCGAGGACTCAGATGAGGGGCCAATACCATTAGGGAGTGGATTACTGCCTTCTTATGGGGGCTTCTTGCCTCAGTTGCTTTGTCAGCTGAAATAACTCAAGACTTGCACACTGTTCTTTGGAGGTAACCCAGACAGGAATCCAAAACCACAAGGACTAACATTTTATTGTATAAGTAGTCCCTTGACTTGCAAACTGTTCCGACCTTGTTCCCCAAATACGTGTGAAGGATGTGTGTTTGTGTTTATTTTCATGGACATGATGTGCACTGAAGATGGCGTTCAATTTCGTTGTACGAGGTGCAATGACAATAAACTAAACTAAACTAAACTAAACTAAACTAAACTAAACTAAACTAAACTAGGGAGGGTGCCTGCTGAGATGCTCTCTCCACTTCCATTCTTTCTGAGGACCGAGTTTCCTCTTATCCAATCTTCGAGCTACGGCTCTTCCTTCTGTCTCCCAAGGGAATTCTCACAGCCCTTTGCCCCAGTGGACCAGTTTTGAACCCTCCGATGCTCCCTGCCTCCCAAGATGCCAGGTAGCAAAGTCTCGGTCCGTCGTGTGGCATTCACACTTGTGTTTTTCTGCAGATGGTGCCAGCATTGTGATCAGTAGCTCCGAAGACACCGAAGATGACGCTGCGGTGAGTGTGAAAAGAAGGTTCTCGCCACTCAGGACTTGTGAAGTAGAATTGTGCTTCTCAGTTTGGCCGTTTGAAGAGGTGTGGCCTTCCAACTTCCAGAATCCCCTGGTCCGCCTGGAATTCTGGGAATTGAAGGCCACACCATTTCAAGTTGCCAAGGTTGGGAAACCCTACTTTAGATGATGATTGACTACATTTCCCATCATCCCTGTTGGCTGTTTATCCCCCCCTACTGCAGTGATTCAGGAGACCTTTGTGTATTTCATTAAATCCTTTGGCTCCTCTGAGAAGCAGATAGATGAACTAAGGGAACTTTTGATCGAGGTTAAGATTGTATTCTTTAAATCAGAGGAGCTTTTAACTGCTAGCCTTGGGTAAATGGAGCCTCCACGTTTCAACCGTAGTCTACCTGAATTGTCAGTTGTCAGGGAACCAGTGCAGAGTGTACGCCATGTGAATTTCTTGGAGACACCACATTGGTTGCAAAAGGAGAGTTGGAGAACCTTCCTTTCCTTTAGAAGTGTTAGGAGTAGATGACATGATGGACTAGGAATTCTGGGAGTTGTAGTCTCAACAGCTCTGGAATTCTGGGAACTACAGTCACAACAGACCTGAAATTCTGGGAGTTGTAGTCACAACAGCCCTGGAATTGTGGGAGTTGTAGTCATAATAGACTTGGAATTCTGGGAGTTGTAGTCTCAATAGCTCTGGAATTGTGGAAACTGCAGTCACAACAAACCTGGAATTGTGGGAACTGCAGTCTCAACAGATCTGGAATTCTGGGAGCTGTAGTCACAACAGGCCTGGAATTCTTGGAGTTGTAGTTACAACAGCCCTGGAATTCTGGGAGCTGTAGTCACCTGGAATTTTGGGAGTTGTAGTTCTAACACTGGGAAAGTCTGGGTGCTCTTTTGATCTGATCTAGGAAAATCGGTTGAGATTTTTGTGTTTTTTTTTTTCCCCAGTGACCACCTGCTTGTTCCAGACTGGTTTCCAGTAAACTGAGCCTGAGTTAGCAGCCACAGGATGGACTGACATTTTTCTCCTATGCTTCTTTTAGTCAAATCCCTGAAGAGTAAATAGCTGCTTCACAGCACCAACTTCGAGCTGTTGTTTCCCTCCAGGGCCTTTTGCCTCATGGAAAATGATTGTCTCTTTTTCCTCCTTTGTGCACAATTTTATCCAGCCTGTAATTATAAGCATTGGATCACGCATTGCTCATCTCTGGATCCACATGCCTTCCGTAGGTGCAGTCAGGCGTGGCTGCTGAACAAAATTTATATTTCTACTCAGTTCCTGGAATTTGTTACCTGCTTGTTCTGCTAAGAGTTTCTTCCAAATAGCCTTGGGGTGGGTTTTTGGTTTTTTTGCCTGATTTATAGCTTAGTAACTAGAGGAACTCAAAGTAAATAGCCTTTCACCTTCCGTTAGCGGATTTGGTCTGCCTGGTTTTCTGATTATTACCGAAAGTTTGTACGTCATACTTTTTTTAAAAAAAAAAAAGGGCAAAGATGCTGTTTGGGCTTACTTCATTTTTTGGAGAACCTAAGATAAGCAACAAACCTTTGTACTGGCTAAAATAGAACTACAACTCCTGATAGCTTTTTAAAAAGGTCCAATGAACTCTGATGGAGATCATCAATTCAAATTAAGTTGAATCTCTCAGTTTTAAAGTCTGGTCAGTTTCTCACTGATTATTTATTCCTAAATAATCTGTCTCCTTGATGTGGTGCTTTTAAAGGAAGCAGTTCCCAAAATGCTCTGGATTACCGCCCCCCCCCAAAAAAACTCCAAAGAACCTCGATTCTTAAAAGTCATGCTGATAGCAAGATGGGTGGCGAATAAAATTAACAAATAAGTAAAATAAAATCAATTGTAAACTGTGTGTGCCCGCTGTGAAAAGGACATAGAAGAGAGAGGGTGTCACCTCTCTGTTCATTAAAAGAAGTGCATTAGAGTAATTTACTCTCCCTAATAAGCCTGAAGAAAGATGCAGCTATTTTAATGAAACGGCTAATAAAAGTGCCGTGTTTTAAAGCAATCCCAAGGTTCCTCTAATTGAAATTAGGACTTGGTTTGCCTGCTAGGCTAAGCTAGCCTTGGTTTAATCATGGATCAGTGAATTAACAAGGTTGGCTGGCTACACACAGTGTATTAAGCTCTGAGCCAGTTGTGTGTGCGCGCGCTGCCTTGAATTTTTTGTAAAAATAAAGAAAAGGGATATAAATAAGTTAAACAAACAGGTTTTACAAGCCATCATGTCTAATTTCCCCCAATATGCTAAGCCAAATTCAAATAAAGCACATTATGACTAGCCTGTGTTTTTGTGACGTTTACTTGTGTTTGTGTGGTGTGAAGACAAGAAACAGCAGATGGCAGTCTAGCACAGGAAGAATTTACTTGCTTTTCCTTAGTTCCTCAAAAGGGCAGAATATCGATAAAGGAGAATATTTGTAGCTCAGGGTTGAAATGAAAGCTCCTTGGTATTTCTCTTGGTTGCTTTCTTGCAGGTGTTTCATGACCCAACTAGGTAACATCATCAGTGCTATAAGGCAGTGGGGTTTGCAGAGAGGAGGAGCAGGAGGATTGTGGGAACTCTAGAAAAAGTGCAGAGAAGAGCAACCAGGATGATTAGAGGACTGGAGACTAAAACATATGAAGAACGGTTACAGGAACTGGCCTAGTCTAGTGAAGAGAAGGACCAGGGGAGACAGGAGAGCATCTTCCACTATTTGAGGGGCTGCCACAGAGAGGAGGAAGGGGGTCAAGCTATTTTCCAAAGCGCCTGTAGGCCGGACAAGGAATAATGGATGGAAACTGAACAAGGAGAGATTCAACCTGGAAATAAGGAGAAACTTTCTGACAGTGAGAACCATCAACCCATGGAACAGAAGTTGCCTTTGGAAGTTGTGTGAGCACCATCACTTAAGACCTTCAAGAAGAGATTGGACTGCCATTTGTCAGAAATGGTGTAGGGTCTCCTGTTGGGTGGTGGGGTTGGACTAGATGACCTACAAGATCCCTTCCCACTCTGTTAATCTAATCTAATCTTAATATCAAAAAACCTTGGTGCTCTCTGAATTTGGCTGTTTTCTTGCAGATGTTTCATTACCCAACTAGGTAACATCATCAGTACCTTGGGGCCATTAAGTGAACCACACACATGTTAAGCGAGTCTTGCTTCCTCCGTTGGTACTGCTTCTTATTGGTAAGGTTGCAGTTGGTGGTCACATGACCCCAGAACCCTGCAATCCTCATAAATGAATATGAACATAAATAATTCTGTTCTTGTGACCATGCGCATACAATGGATGTCGTTCCGAGGACCAGCCGTAAATCAGTGTTATCAACATATTTGCCTTCATTTGTGAGAAAATAGACCAGATATTAGCAGCCGGATCTGCATTGGCCATATTGAAATACGTGTGATGTACGAAAGCACAGCTGGGAAGTGTAAACCCTACATTTACAATGAACGTGATTATAAATATTTGGAGGATACTCAAGAGACTGGGCAGAGAATTTTTTCTCAGTGCCGCAATTGTGCCAGAGTGAAGAACGTGTGAGCGTTTTGTGCTGTTCAGACAGTTATAGTTAATGGGATTTGGGATAGTTAGGAATTGAGAGCTGTCCCCTTAAGGGAATACATCGTGGTAAAAGTAGTTAAGGTATCCTGGGAAATGTAGTCCATGTCATGTGGCCACATCTGTAACCTTGATTGGTCACTGAATTGACCCTTGATGGGTCGTGGGAGCTTTCTTCACTCTTGCCTGAACACAGCCTCATGATAGCATCTCTACCCACTGCTTCTACTACTATTTCAACTATGCAAAGAATTGGACATGAGATGCATCTCAACATAACTGTGAGTTACCTTGAGGATGCCTAATATAATCCAATAAAGAAACTTTGTATGGAAGAATTTGTAGAGTTATTCTATCTGTCTTTATATTCAGCAGGTGAACCAAAAGACAGAATACGTTTTAAATGGCCTGTAAAATAAAAGGGATCGGGTGGGGGATAAATAGCCCTGTCAGTTTGAACTAAATCCCTCGAAATGGCAAGCTCTACGTAATATCCAGCTCTCTCCATTTGCAGCGATTAATTATGTATCGCTTAATTTAAACGGTTCTCGACAAACGCTGCCAGAGGCTGGTGGCAGCGTCTGCCTTAGCGTTTATGAAAATTGATTTCACTCTTTTGCCTCCCGCTTTTCCCAAAGTAATGAAAGCTGAAGGGCAGAGTTTAGGATTAATTTATGCTGCCTAATTTTAACGACATAAATTCTCCGTGAAGTTAGCTCGGAGAAGCAGTTAGCTTTCCTTAACCGGCTTATGCCTCTAATCAAAACCCCCTTATTCAACTATTGCGATGAGTCCATACCGACAAAGGTTAGCATCTTGCAAGCCATTGTGGCCCCAGGAAAATGCTTCTGCCTGGTGTGTAATGCCCAATAAACCACACACACACACCCCTGAGGTGGAGATGTCAGGACTCCGACATGCACCCCTATTTAAATCATAAGTCTCTAGCCGCATCTAAAACAGATTGATTTATTAGGAGTTGACATGTTGGTGTTACCTGGTTACAGCCAACTTTGACACATCATTCATTTCCCCCTTGACCCTGGTCTTCCTCCCATCCCCTGGATCTATATTATCCAATGACATACATCCGTAGCCAAGAGTCATCAATCATGCTCTCCAGTAATAATCTTGCACGCCAGAAGCTTCGGCTAGCAAAGCGATTATCTGAAGCATTTAAGGAATGCACTGCTTTCCCCATTCCCTTTCTGCTGGCAACTAAAAAGCCCAAAGAAGTTGTCGTGCCCCTGTTGGAGTGACTCCGAGGGAGAGATGGAACAGCTGACAGGGAGTGGGAGTGTGGCTCTGGTGGTTGTGGAGGAAACTGGGGAAGGGCACAGGCCGGCTGGGCATTCAGAGGAAGACCCACGCCCATCCCCTCTTCATCCTAGGGCATGCAGGGAGGAGCGGATAAGGGAGAAACGTGAGTCGCATGGTCTGTGGGGGAGGAAGGGGCTCTGATCACCTTCATGGGCTGAAGCTGGGAGGACTGTTTAAAAGGACAAACTGTGCATGGCAAAGGTGCTGGAAGCCAAGTGTGCATTCTTGTCAGCAACTGTGGTTGCTGCTTTATCTGGTAGAAGTCTGCAATTAATCATCCTTGCCTGCCGTAGTAATTCCTAGAGTGTGGTGTGTTGGGTTTTTTTTTAAATTTTGAATTAACTTTACTTTGGGTGCGGACTGCATTTACTCCCGTATCCGGCCAAGTTGGAGGCATTAAAGTGACTTTCTTCTATTTTTGTGACTTGGTTATTTTTGTGTCACACCCCAGGTCGTCAGAGAAGTATTTTTTTTAGTTGACAGGAGATTTGCAAAAACTTTACTCTGTGCAGAAGAAAGGACAGGATCGTTCCCACGAGGGCTTTGCAAAGGCCACTCCTTCAATAATTCATTTTCATAGACGCTGCCACCTTGAGCCAATTCCTCTTAGCTCATCCTTACATATTAATGTTTATTAATATGGCTCTTGATTAAAAACCACAACCAAGCCCAGTTTTTGTTGGTGCTAAGCCAGACATTTGCTTAAGTGAATTTTGTCCAATTTTGCAACCTTCCTTGCCACCGTTGTTAAATGAATCTCTGCAGTTTTTAAGCTAGTAACCCGATGAATTAGTAACCTAGGGCAGGGGTCCCCAACCACTGGGCCCTGGACCGGTACCGGTCCGTGGATCATTTTGTACCGGGCCGCAAAGAATGGTGGCTAGTGGTGGCTTGGAAGCCGCCATCTTGTTTCAACGGTGCTTGAGAAAGTGCTTCCGGGTGAGCTTGTCGGCCGTCGGTTGGAAAGCGGCATTTGGGTGCTGAAGGAATCCTCGTTGAAGGGGGGGGGGCGGCTTTGAATGAAGAGCCGTCCCGATGGTGGTGGAGTCTCGCGTTACTCAGGAGGAGATTAAGAAAGAGCCCAAAAAGCCCATCAACCGCGAGAAGGTACAAAGGAGGAGTTGAAGGTGGCGGAGAGAAGCGGGGGACGGCTGGCTGGCTGGTCGTTCGGCTCGCCTTGCCTCGGTCGTGTGTGCTGATGCCGGTACCGGTCCGTGGATCATTTGTACTGGGCTGTGGTACAAAAAAGGTTGAGGACCACCGACCGGGTGAATTAGTAATCTGGTTGTTAAGGGGATCTGGCTTTCCTATTGATTTTGTTTGTTAGAAAGTCACAAAAAGGTATGATTCCCCCGCCTCCCAGGACACTTCCACGGCCATAAATACAAGACGGTGGCTAAGCGACTGAATTTTTTGTTAAATAATATTTTATTGAACAAAACAATTAAAAACATTGAACGTAGTGAAGTCGGTTTGACATAACTTTTGGTCAGTATCGCATAGATATATACACTGCTCAAAAAAAAATAAAGGGAACACAAAAATAAGACATCTGAATGAATGAAATATTCTCATTAAATACTTTGTTCATTACATAGTTGAATGTGCTGACAACAAAACCACACAAAAATTATCAATGGAAATCAAATTTAGCAACCCATGGATGTCTGGATTTGGAGTTACACTCAAAATTAAAGTGGAAAAAAAAACACTACAGGCTGATCCAACTTTGATGTAATGTCCTTAAAACAAGTCAAAATGAGGCTCAGTAGTGTGTGTGGCCTCCACGTGCCTGTATGGCCTCCCTACAACGTCTGTGCATGCTCTTGATGTGGTGGTGGATGATCTCCTGAGGGATCTCCTCCCACACCTGGACTAAAGCATCCCCCAACTCCTGGACAGTCTGTGGTGCAACGTGGTATTGGTGGATGGAGCGAGACATGATGTCCCAGATGTGCTAACTTGGATTCAGGTCTGGGGAACGGGCAGGCCAGTCCATAGCATCAATGCTTTCGTCTTGCAGGAACGGCTGACACACTTCAGCCACATGAGGTCTAGCATTGTCTTGCATTAGGAGGAACCCAGGGCCAACCGCACCAGCACATGGTCTCACAAGGGGTCTGAGGATCTCATCTTGGTACCTAATGGCAGTCAGGCTACCTCTGGCGAACACATGGAGGGCTGTGCGGCCCCCTAAAGAAATGCCACCCCACACCATTACTGACCCACTGCCAAACCGGTCATGCTGGAGGATGTTGCAGGAAGCAGAATGTTCTCCATGGCGTCTCCAGACCCTGTCACGTCTGTCACATGTGCTCAGTGTGAACCTGCTTTCATCCGTGAAGAGCACAGGGCGCCAGTGGTGAATTTGCCAATCCTGGTGTTCTCTGGCAAATGCCAAACAT